GTCCAAGAAGATGCATCTGTGAACAGGCATGTTACTGATAATTTGCAGGAAGACATGATTGAAGAAATTTATAAGCAGGCTACTGAAGTAAGTGAAGCTGCATCTTTCTTGGTCTCGTGATATTTTTCCCTATTATACTTTCAGCAGCAATATTATTACAAAGTATTTCCTGGTATTATTGGGTGTCTTATCTGGAAGTAAACTATATCACATTATTGTGAAATTGTCTTGTTTGCATAACGTTATAGCTTTTATATGTAGTATTATCTGCCAAATTATAAATATGATTGCTCCTTGTCCAGAATCTCATGATTTTGCAAGGTTTTGATTAAAAGTTAGCCTACACAGCCTTGGAAAATGAAATACAAATGCAGGTGGATAAGTTCAATCAAATTTGATAAGAAACTTTATAAAATACTAGCATGACACTATCCCAGGAGAAGTGAAGATAAGAAAGGCCAATAAAGAACCAAAATACATGAATAAATTTTGTTCTTTAATACAATTAAGCATTGACAGGATCACATTCCAATCAAATATCAAAATGATAATTGGATTTCAAATTGAGCAAACTAAAAGCTATGCACTTTGCCCCTATTTAAAACCAAGACATTGGATCAGTGACTTTTGTGTCACTTGTAACAATTCTTGAGTTATTTTTCTTTGTACAATTCCTTTAGATGTTATTGGTTTAAAAATTTTAAAACTTTTTGTTGACGTCTTTTATTTTGTGTAAACAATGTCAAAAGAAGCTATATAATGAGATTTCCGTATCTTGCATGGCCAAGCCTATTAGCTACGAGGCACTTTGTATGGATTACTGCCATGTGACCCTTCATTTTTTATCATCTGTTTTACAAAGTTTCAATCAACTCATATTTGCTTCACTAGATGAGTTTTTGGCTATAGCACTCTAGGTCTCGGTGCATACACATTAGAATTGGACCAACTGCTCGTGTGAATTAGGTCTGATTTGCAAGAGGTACTATTATGGTATTGTTAGCGAGGTTTGCAAAATTAGATTTTGTTAGGAAAACAAAACTTCAAAAGCTGTCAGATACTGTTGAAAAATTTATTCATAAAATTTAAAGAAGCTACATTAAAAGATGAAATATTTGATATATTTTGAAAGCATGCAATATCTAAACTAAACATATTATAATTTGGCAGATAATACTACATATGAAAGCTATAACGTTATAGCTTTCGTGCATATCATCTTTTTTCCTTATGTGAGTATGAGTGTAGGTGGCCATTTTGGTTCCAATTAAATTCTTTTTTCCCACTGCTTATTTATTTCTGAGAAAGAGAAAAAAAATTTGCAAGTTGGTTTGAGCATCTGGAAAGTGGGTGCGAGACAAAATCGGAGAAAGTTGCCTTTGTGTGCACTTGTGCACATAGGAGAGTTCTCATGTGGGACGGAGGGGCGTTTGAGCTCACTGTTCTTTCAGTTTGAAGTGGTTAATGCAATATCTTCAAGTGGCTATCGTTGACTTATTGGTTGATAGTACAATAGTTTGACCCTGAAGAATTTGAAGAGAAAACCTAATTAGTTTGAGTGCTTCTAGTGGTTGGACTGGGAAGGTGTATGTGATGGTTTGTGCTTCTATGAATTGTATTGCTGAGGACCATCTTGATAAGATGCCAAAACGTCCTATATGGTAAGAAGACCTCTTTACAAGTGTGTGGCTGTAAGTCTGGAAGATTCTGTAAATACGAACTGGAGTACTAAAGTAAAACTACTTTTCCTTGCTCTTAAAGATTTCATAAACAAAATTTTGGTGATGTATGTGATATCTAGCCATTTAGTTTCTATCTTTTATTTTGTGAGGTACTAGATGTAGGCACAAACAGGATTATCTATACTGATTTTTACAGTTAACTTTTGGACACTTCTAACAAAATAGCAAGAATAAGAAAATGAAAGATCTGATGGAAGAAATGACTAATATTTTGATCTTTCTCCTGGAGCAAATAAACTCAGTAGCTTTACGTGGATTGTTAATGATGTCTTGTTTGCAGGATCCATCTCCAGCCTTACATAGTGATGCCACTGCCATGCCTAATGATACATCACAAGACTATAGCTCCAATCACTTGGCAAGTCAGGTTAATGATGCTCCAGATGATGCGAAGTTTCTGGTGAAATTCAGATCTCAGAAGAACAGAAAGCTCGTATGGAAGCCAACAGGCTAAAGGCATTAGAGAGAGCTGCTGCTCGTACTCGTTTGTCATAAATAATTTGACTGTGTTTCCTGTATACCTTTTGTGTTCTGTTGTCCTGTTGTCCTGTTAAGTATTGTCACGCCAGCAACTCATCAAGTCGACAACTATCCCCAACATGTTTTTGCTGAATTCTCATCATCTGACATGATTTTGGTGAAGGGATATTCTATTTTTTGAACTTATTGGCTGTACATAATTGTCATTCTGAAGATAAATTTTACTTTGAAGTGCCCCATAAGATGTTATGGTGCCGAGTCAGGTAGCTACATTGATATTAATCAGACACCATATAATATGCTAGTACCATAATTATATTTGTTTTGCTAAATATAAATATCAAGACTACAATTAGCAAAGCCCAGCTGAGATTGATGATATTGTGCTCACACATTTATTTTTAAGGGAGATTCATCTTGTGAAGATTAAGATTGGTTTGTATAACAATGAGTTCAAGTTAATTAGCTTTGTAAAAGATTTGAATTTATTAATCAAGCTCAGATTGACCAAGTTGGTTATTTTGGAAAATAATGCAACTTGAGCTTGATTAATCTATCAAATCATTTTTTCTCAATATTTGTAATTAATGAAAGTGATATATGCATGAAGTTATAGAAGTAAAATGCTATATATTAGTGTGCCGTGATGCCTCCTCTTCCTTCTCCTTTCCTTCTTCCAACTCTTAAATTAGCTCATGTTGATCCCTCCCATGGCCAAAGCACTCCAACTTTTCTAGGTTTCTTAACTTTTCTTCTTAATCTCAAATCCTGCTGTCTATCAGCTCGATAAGTTTGTGTAGAAGGGGTTCAAAGGTATTACCGTTAACAACCTGAGCCTTGCTAGATTTTTAAAAAAAAATCGAGCACAATGGCGTCCTCCAACTTACCAACAACACTTTAGTAATGTACCAAATAGTTGAAGGGGAAAACAGTTATAGTTAGTTGACAGTTAGTTGATAGTTGGTTAGTAGTTGAGGTCGGGGGGTACTTTTGTAACTAGATATTGGTTTTGGAAACTCATTAAGCTGGCAGTTATAACCATCAATTGTAAAAAATAGCAGGAACAGTGATGAAAACAGGGCATTGAATAACATGAATTCTTTTTCCTATCCTTAAAATCCTTTTGCTCAACAAATTTCTTCTCTTTAAGAGACTTCGGATCATGATTGATTCACAACTCCAATCCTTAGGACTCTTCTATAATTTCAGCAATTCTTCAGATTAATTCAGTTGCCTGATATCGATTGCTATCAAGCAGTCAATTCTCGGCAGCTTATATGAAAATGGTAGATGGAACCAAAAGGCAGAATTCAGTCAACAAGTAGATGCAAGGAACAGTTATGAGAGTTAAATGAGAAGCAGGACCGATCTATTAAGGAAATGTGGCAAACCTTTGTCGCAATGAAAGACGCAGCCAAAATTTCTTCCGGAGTACACCTCCCTAAGAAAGGTGCTTATAGAGAAGATGGATCAGTGAATAACAAGAGGAAATCAATATCAAATTGTAACCTAGTGTCTGCAAATTGAGTTTCCCCGATTCCATGGTGAAGATTTGATAGGGTGGCTATATAGGTGTGACCAGTTTTTTTGATGTTGATGAGACAACCTCAGAAGCTAAGGTGAATCGGTGGCCATCAATTTGGAAGGGGAAGCACTGCAATGGCATTAGACGTTCCTAAAATCCTGACTTACCAAAGAGCTAAGTAAGTGGGAGGAGTATATAGGGAATATGTACAATAGATTCAGTTCTACTCTCTAGGATGATCCCATGTAGTTAGTTTGAAAACAAACTGAAACTGCGAAAAGAACTTGGATAGATTTGATGAATTATGAAATACGTGGATTTAACTGAAGAATACTCTATTAGCTGCTGGTTGAATGGTTGAAACCTGAGATTACAGCGCAGGTGAGACTGTTGGCCCCTTGAACCTTAGCTAGGGCTTGCAATATGGCTGAATTGGTTGAGCATTCCTTATCCCACCACGATATGTTTCTAGTCCAATTATCAAAAACACTTCAATCTTACCTAAAAAGATAGAAAACCTTATCAGGAAAAATAACATTATTTCCATTGATAACAAGAAGAGAAGTGGAAGTGGACCAACACTAAGTTTGGTCAAAATAACGAAGAAGAAATTTAAATTACTTTGGTTTAACTAAAAACGATACTCTATAATCAAATACATTGAAAATATATAATATTTATAAGTAATCCAGTTATCGGGGATAAAGTTTGGCTGATTGATTGAACTAAGTCTAGATATCAGTTGCCATTGTATTTTGACTGGACCTTGCTTCAGATTTCTGTGTAGACTAACGATCATAATTGAAATGATGGCTAGAGGCAAACTTGATGGGAGAAATCAAGGTGAAAATAGTTTTTTGAAGGATGAAACAAGTCTTTGTTGTTTTCTAAAAATGTATAGCAAAAACAGTTTTCAAAAGCATTTCCGAAAACAATTTTTCAAAACAGCCTGCCAAATAGATTTTTTTGTTTCAGAAATCCAAAAATTGTTTTCAAAATCAGATCCAAGCATGACATAAATCGAGTACCTAAGAAGTCAACATTTGCACATTCAATTTCTAGGGGCATGTGACCAAAGTTTCACTACTAAATTCAAAACCACAAGACGAAAAAATGTTCATACCATATAACATATCATAAATTTTCTTTGCTTGACATCTCAAAACCTCTGCTCAGAGGCAGGGTGATCAAAGTTTGAAAAATGCCACCATTACATTTAATACAAATTTTTCCCAGAAAATTGTCCTATCCTATATATATTTGCTTGAGGCCTCTATATCTGAAAGAATGGCAAATGAGAGAGAGTACATAAACTGAGTTTTAAGAGTTGACAGACCAATCATAGCTCTGGTAAACAATATTAATTGGGCCACCATCTCCCAGAGATGTGTCAGAAGACCAGTTTTAGTTGCATCCGGAAATTTAGGATATACTTGACAAGTTCCTTCTCTGTTCCAAAATCCACATTGAACCTGTGAAAGAATATACATATAGAGAAGACATTTTATCAACCTTACTGCGCATGTCAAATTCTTCCATGAACGCTTTTATGCTGGAAACAAGGATTTAAATTTGTGACTTACCACTTCAATAACCTATTAAGGTAAACAGTCCTCTTGGGCAAATCCACTGTGATCCCATCTTCTCTTCTGAAAAACTCCCTTGTGGCATGCCTTAATTCAGCCTCAACTCCTTGTGGAGTAAAGAATCTCACTACAGGGCATGACTCGTCCCGTTACAAAGACCAAAATGAATCAATGGATTAACTTTGGGAAGAGCAAAGCTGGATAAACACACACGGAGCAAAAGAAAGAGCAAATCAGCTTGGTCATGGTTATAGTATTTAACTAGTATTATGCCCCAATTGGACGTAACAAATCTTAAACTAAGTGTTAAATATAATATTTAAA